TTCGTGCCCAGTTCTTGGATGGTCAAGGAGGAGGATGGGAGGGGAAAGCAAGCCGAAGAGAATAATCTGGCCTGTGAGGAAGGGATCAAGCTGGAGAGGGGAACAGGCCGATGCCTGTGCTCTATATTAAAACTAGATTTAAGCCCCACCTTGCCTTTCTAGGCTGCAGTGGACGAAAAGCACCGAGTGAAATCTTGTACAGGGGCTGGTCTTGGTGACCCATCGCGTCCCTTCCTATTCTGCAGTTCTAAGATTACGGTTAAGATCAGTGTGACCCCATCTTTAGAAACAATGTTCAGCTCGAGTCAGGCCTTTATTGAGTCACTAAGGAGTTAATTGTAAGGGAGGCTTCTGAGGGCTCCTCAACTCCATCAGGCATAACATGGAGGGGTTGTCTAAACTCCCCAGGTTTTTTGTTTGGTTTATTTAGCCGTGTTTTCCTAAAGAATAGGTTTGGAGAATTTGAAAGCTCCCCTTCTTGGCAAGTTGAGCTAATACAGGTAACACGCATGCCTGAAGCTGTTTATCCCAGCTTTGCTGTTTTCATCCCCAGGCATCTGACACGAGGGGAAGCATCTCCCTTCATTGGGCCAAACGGGGTGGCTTTTTAAACAGAGCAGCCACCATCAGCAGGGAGAACGAGGCCTGCCTCTCTCTCTCTCGGCCAACTCCTCCTTGACCTGGAAGAGAGAGAGAGAGAGAGAGTCTGTGCTGGGTGTCCTCTTCCTTCCTCTCTCCGGGCCTTGGGCTCCTGTCCTCTTCTTTCGCTGCCTCCTCCCTGCTTGTTTTCTCCAGTGAGCAGAGACGCCGGAAGGGTCTCCTTCCTGGGGATCGGGAAGCAGCCCTGCCAGCAGTTGTGGCTGCAGAGCTGTGAGCTCAGGGGGTAGCAGAGGCTGTGGTGTTTCTGGGGGGGGGCTGACATCCACCCGGCGGAGGGAGAGGGAGCTGGGCCTGCTGCGCTTGGCCCTGTGGAAGCAAGGCTGGCACAGCTTTAGAGCTGTATTTAGTGGTTCTGTGTGGCACTGAAGTGACAGTGTGGGGCAAACTGGAAGTTGTTGACTTGTGGGGCGGGGAAAGAGGGACCCAGGCCTCGGTTGGGAGAGGAGTGGCGGGGCTCACCTCCCCTGCCCCTTTTGGATGCTGCCCTTTAAACAGGTGGGACGGTCCAACCTGTGTTGCTCACCTGGGGAGGAAGGGGGAAGCCTTGGCGAGGGTGGCCCCAGCTGCATCTCTAGGGGTTCATTCCCATTCCCCCCCCCAATCAGGGCCCTGCCAGGCATCCGTGGTCATCCCCACTCAATGACCAGAATGGCAGGTGATGCTTCGTGAGAGTCATTTCAGACTCAGAAGTGCCAGTCAAAGAGTCAAGCTGTGTGACATCACCTTGTAAGCAAGGTCTCAGTTTTCAGGGGCAGCTGTTCGGATGTTCAGCTGCCGAGTCATGCGGCGAGGGAGAAGCCTGTGCGAAACACCCACCCCCTGGAAAGGAGTGTCCTGCCTTGGCAGCTCAGGGAGCTGGCGGTTTGGGAGCACCGAGCGGCCCGTTTTCCGTCCAGAGGAGAAGAGCGACGCCTGCCGGCTGCAAAGGGAAAGCCGCTGGGTGGATCCACCAGCAGCATGGCTGGGGGCTGGTTGGACCAGAGGCTCAGCCCATGGAAGAATCCGCCTCTCCGAGAAGTGAAGCATCTTCAGGTTTTTTGTCTCTCTGGCAGGGAAGTGGCCCATAGGATTCAGCCAGGTCAGTGCCCTTCTGCGTGGTCCGGGTCTGGCCAGACGAGCGTGAGGATTTGGAGAAGTTTCCTTCCTGCCTTTCTTCTCCTTTCTCTGCCCTCATGGCTTGATGGGGATTCTTGGAGAGCTCAAAGGCTCCTGCCACCTTTAGGCCACCTTTTAACCCCTCAGGGATCCTCACAAAAGATGTTAACTGGCTCTGCATGGTGTTAACGTTGGGCACCCACTCTGCTCTTCTGTGTTCTCTGTATGCATCTAAGTTTGGCTCTTCTCGTGAGTGGGTTGCAAAGCCGTTTCCTGCCCTGCCTGCCTGGAGGATGTAAGGAAGGGAGGATTCACAGGCAGAGCCCACTTTACTGCACGGCGTCCCCGAATGGATTTGGCACAGCTGGTCCTTGGATGCTTTTGCCAGTCCAGCAGTGGCTGTTCTAATCTTCTAACGCTGCAGGAAAGGGTGCAAAGAGTCTCCAGAGTCTTCCATCGAGAGCTAGAGCAGCCCCCACATTTTTTTTAAATTATCTGTCGCAACATGGTCCTGTGTTGGACGTGGCTCCAGGAGACCCTGGTTCAAACTCCAGCCACAGCCGGCACTTTGTGGGTTTTGATAATCTTGGGAAAGTTATTTTTTTTTTTTACTATGGCTTCCAGAATCACCACCGCCGCCGCCAGCGGGACCTTGACTGCGTTGGCTGGGGAAATTCTGGGTGCTCTGGTGGGGAAAGAGTAACTTTTCCAGGCTGTGAGGGGCAGACCCTCCTCAGTGACCGCGCTGGACGGAGTTATTTGGCTGGCAGATCTGCCTGCCTGCCCACGGCAGCCCTCGAGGTCCCCACCCAAAAGGCACCTGAGGGTTTTGCAGGCACTTTGCTGCTGCTGCTGCTACTGCTGCTTGGGCTTCTGTTCCTCCTCCTCCTCCTCCTTGGGCGTCTGGCCAAGCCTGAAGGAGTTGTTGACACAACAACCCCGTTGTTTTGCGTTGCTTCTCTTTAATAGCTGTTTACTGTCGGGTGAGATTGTGGTGCTATCGTAAAACGTTATTCTTGCGGCAAGTGTTTGTGGAACATTCAGAGTAACCTTTCGAAACACATTTGCTACCATGTCACCAAGCGAGAGCAAGCCAGGCTGATGGCTTTTTAATCCCGGCGAGCTCTCAGACGCCTGACCGCCGGCCCGACTCTCCCACCCTTCGAAAGGTGGAGACTCCGTGGGACGGAGGCGGTGAAAGAACAGGCCTCGGCTTCTGCAGGAGGGCCAGGAGTGGGAAACTGCTGCCGGCACACCAGCTTCAAGAAGATTCCCCCTGCCTTCCCCCTACCCCCACCCCATAAATGGCCTCCTGGGTTCTCGGAGAGCTGGTAGCCCGGTTGATCCGCAGGTGAGGCCAAATGCTTGCCAGGATGGTAAGAGGAGGCTGGCTTGTACTGGTTTGATCCTCTACAGCAGCTTTGGACAGTTTCCTTGCCTGAATTGCACAGGGCTTTCAGTTGTGCGCGTGCACAATCCTCCTTTGCAGAACATGAGGCATCAGGATTTAAGCCAGACTGACCGTGTGTTTGTAGAGCAACTTGGGAAATAGGTTTTTAAGGATGAACCAGACAAAAAAGAATGTTCCTTTTTGACTACGTCGGGGGCTCCTGTGCAAGTCCCCTAAGCCCAGTCTCTGCCCGCCGTTGTGCTTCTCCGCTTGACCGCTTGGGTGAGCCTGTGTGGCTTCATACCTGTTGTCCGCTTGGTGACTTTGTCGGCCCATCTGCAGGTTTCCTCTGCCTTTGTGTTTGGGAAGTACAGGGTCTCGGGTGGTGGTGGTGGTGGTGGTGGGCTGATGCAGAGCAGGAGGCGCCCCCTCCCTTTTGTCCCGCTTCCTGCACCATCTCTTGCTGGCCCTGTGGCCAGGGGCTCCCTGGTGCACCTCCCATAGTTGCTGTGAACTGCTGTGTCCCCTGCATGGGGCCCATGGCATCTTGAGCCGGGGGCATCTTAACAGGGTATTTTTTAAAAAAAATATTGTGATGTGTGGGAGACAGAAGGGGAGGGGGAGGTGGAGAAACCAGCGAGCTGACCTGTCACACCAGGAAGCTTGCTAGGCTGGTTTTGCAGGAGTGCTGCCTGTTGAACAAAGGGTCCCTTGTTTCCCATTCTCTCCCCACCTCCAGCCCCTTCCCTCCTTCCACTCCGTTTGGCCTCTTGGTTCTCTCCCTTGTTCTTGCTGCCCAACTCATAAGGCTTCTTAGTGGCGCATACCGTGGGGTGGCCACCCCGGAGGAAGCTCTGGCAAGGATCCCGGGCCCTGGCCCCGTGTCCTCACTTGAACTTCTCTCTGTCTGCTTCAGAGCCTCCTCCTTGTCTCTTCTGTACCTTGCCGGTTGCCCTAAGCATCCCCAGATGATGGTTAATGCCACCTTCAGTAGGATTTGACCTTCTGACCTCTGAAGAAGTTGGTCTTCAGCCATGCAGCCCGGCTGGCGAGCTCCAGCCTGTTCCCATCGGAGTCGTGTTGCATCCTATACGTTGGAAATCTTTCTTCCTGAGTTTTTTTTAAAGGAGACTTGGGGGAAACGGTTTTGTTTCCTGCATGTCTGTTTACACTGGCTGATCCAAGTGGTTTTCTGAAAAGTTACATGCTTTTGCACATGCTTAAGTTAAATTGCTATATTTGAAAGCTTGGAGACTTTATTATCTATATTTTGCTCTGGAAAGTCGATTCAAAGCATTGAACTGAGGGAAGGAGAAGCTGAGATACGGCAGGGTGAGGCAGAGAGGGAAAGGGCCCGAATCCTTCCTTTTGCAAGGCCATTGAAAGCCTGCTTTGGGGTTTTAGAAGAGGTAGCCGTGTGAGTCTCTGCTGGCATATCTTATCTTTGAGGAAGTGGACTTGCCCCACGAAAGCTCACATAAAAATGTGGCAGATAGTCTTTGAGGTGCCCCCAATGGTTTTATCGTCTTTCTTTTTTTATTTTGCCTTCAGGGTTGCCAGAGTCGGTCCAGGGGGAGTCAGGGAGCCTTCAGGTTAGACGTTCTGTGTGGCTTCACAACAGACCCACACGGTCTTCTCCTGGTGCCAAACAGAGGCAGGGGCCCCACTTCTGTGCTTTGTGATATTCTAGGCTCGTCTCGCAGGCATCCGGCTTCCGTGTTAATTGGGGACCCAGTCCATCCGCAGCCCAAGACTAGCTTGGGGAACCCCACCCGGGCCGGGGAGGGATTGCCATGTTGGTGGCTCCCCCTTTATGTCAAGAGTAATGCCTGTGCATCCCCCCCCCCTTTTGCAGGTCCCTGGTGGCTTGGCGATGGACAATAAGGGCTTCCGCCGTGGGAGTTTCCAGAGCAGCACCAGCGATGAGGACATGGTGGAGGTCGCCGGGGGGACGCTGGACTTCTCCATGGCGGATGACGTTCCTCCCTTGGACCGAGAGATTGAGGAAGGTAACTCTCCAGGGGTGTGGGGGTCTGCTTGGCTCCCTCCTTTTGAAGGCTTCAAGGCAGAGGAGCTCTCTCACTCAGCTGGGGCTTCTGGTGATACAGAAATAATCCCATCTCTTCGAATTTTCTGCTGAGGGCTGTGCCCGGGGGGGGGGGGGGTCCAGCCCTTTGAAGGCTGCTTTGGAATGAAATGAAGCCATGTTCACAGACGGCTGGGATAGCAGAAGAGAGATGGAATCGGGAGCCTCTTTTTTTGCACGTTGTGTGTGGTCTCCCAGTGAGTGGCAGCCCTTCGCTTTGTGGGACACACGAGCTTGTGGCTCACAGCCAGACGTCCAGCTGAACAAGGCATCGTCCATGCACGTGGTGTCCCCAGGCAGTTGTGCATTTTTCTCTGGGGCTGTTCCCCCGGCTCCAGCTCCTCCCTCCTCCAGGGAAGGCGCTTCTCGGTGGCACGGGACGTCCTTGCTCTTCCGAGGTGCCCCATTCCTCTCTTTGGGGTGTGTTTTGGCAGCAGCGGACCAAGGAGGTGCGATGCTGCCGTTAGGATCGTGTTCTGAAGGGCTTGCAGGTGAGTACAGACAAGCCGTAAGGGGGGAACGGCTGGCTGTCAGGTACAAAGAAAGGCAACTGACTCTCCCAGGCTGTGCAGTTAGGAGGGACCTGATGTCCTCCCAGTGGATCGGGTTGCAACTGCCCTAATCCCCGGACGGAGGGACGGCTGCTGGGCGTGAGAGGGCAGGAGCTGTAGCCCAACTCATTTGGAAGGCAAAGACTTGGGTTACACTGGTCAAGACAAGGCTGAGCAAGAGGATCTCCCCCCCCCCCATTCAGGCAGCTTCTTTGGTTCCTGTGTGTCCCGGAAGGCGGCAGCCTCTTTAAACTCCTAGGGACCCACAAACCACAGGAACGATAAAGCACCCAAACCTTCTCTCCTCACCGGGAGAGTAACAGATTTCAGCAAAGGGCTGCAGGCAGGGAAGGCGTCATAAAAACTAAGCCGGAAGGTCTCCCTCCATTTCTGATTCCCCAAGACCGGTACTAAACCTTTGCTTTGAGCACAGGTACCTGATGAAGAAGAGATCTGTGGGGCTGGAAAGTTTGCTCCCAACATTTTCTTTTAAGAGTTCATGGCAGGTGGCGGGTGTGTGTGTGTGTGATATCATGCAAATTGCTCTCAGTGGAATGAATGAACGAATGGGTTGAGAATTCTGGGGAGTGAAGAAGTGGGCTCAGCCCCTGTCTCCCTTGCCTGCCAGCTTCTGCTCCCTTCTGGATTTGAGCTCCCACCCCCTGGGAAGGAAGGCAGCCGTTTGCCCTTCCCCTGGAACCGCTGGGTCCTCCCACTAGAGGGCGTCCTCTGACCAGCTTGGCCCTCACTCTCACCTCGGGTGGGTGAGCGCAGCCAGGGCTGGGGAGGGACGCTGGAGGTCTCTCTGTCCCCTTGGGCTGAGAAGTGGCTGTTCCTGAGCCTTGCAAAATGAAGGGAGGGACGGAGGGAGCTCTTGAAGAAGATGTGCTGGTGAAGTTGGGTGGAGGACAGGGAGCCGGATCCATGCCCTTGGCTGTGCCCCCAGCAGGGACTCCTCCGGCTCCTCGGTCGGAAGGCCCTCTGGCCGATTTGAGGAAGGCAAGGCACCGGCCGTGGAGAGAAAGTTTTCGTCCCACCCGGGAGCCCTTCCTGTGGGGGAGGGGGCAGATGCCCCACGGGGTCCCCTTTTTGCTGTGAGAGAAGGAAAACAGCCAGGGGGTTCTCTGGGGGACAAGAAAGCAGGCGGGACATCTTTTCAGGTGTCAAGAGAGTGAACCTCCTCCAGGCTTCCCCCGTCTCTCTTTGCTGATTTCCTGAGTGCCTCTCCCAGGAGCTTTGGGCAGAAAACGTGGCCGGGAGGGAAAGGAGCTTGCCTTTTGCAGCGGGACGGGGTCCGTGTTCCAGGGCCAGGGTGGGCCTTCGGGGCCCTGAGCCACAGCAGGTGGTGGTAGACAAAAAGGGAGGCCTAGGTTTTGGGAGGCAGGGGGAGGAAGGGAACCGGGACGGGCCGCTCTGCAAGGCCGCTCTGTGTGTCGACTGCACTTTGTAACTCCCGGAACCGGCCAGAAGGTTCAAAGGCGGCCTCGCAGGACGCCTCCGAGCCGTCGAGAAGCCTGTCTTGGAATCGCATGTGGAGTCAGGAGAGGAAAGCAGGGCTGGCCTTGCAGCCATTTCGTCCCTTGCCCGACCTGCCTGCCTGCCTCCTCTCTGGATCAGGAGGGCTGCTTAAAGATTAACCTGGCCCGGCACATTCCTGGGAGAGCGACTTTGTTCTCCTTCCCTCCCTCCCTCCCTCCACCTTTCAGTCTCTCTGGGAACATTTTGCATTCCCTTCTGTGGTCTCCAGAGAGGTCTTTCTGGGTGGCTCCCGCTTGCCCACACCAGGTGCAGCCGCCTGTGACCGCTCGGCATGGAGAAGGAGAGCCCTGGCAGTGGAGCCTTCTTGCCAGGTCGGTGAGTGGCGACCACCGCCTTCTTGCCCCCCCCCAGCGGACACAGTCCTGTGCCTGCTGGCCCGCATCCTCGCGGAGGCTGGCCCGGCTGAATCCAGTGGCCGGACCCGCTCGGATCCATGGCTGAGTGGGAAGCCCAAATCCCAGTTGCAGCCACTTGGTCTCCTCTAGCCGTTGGGTGGAGGGCTTGATAGGAGAAGGAGAAAGCGGAGAGGCCGCCTTCTTGCCCCCCCCCAGCGGACACAGTCCTGTGCCTGCTGGCCCGCATCCTCGCGGAGGCTGGCCCGGCTGAATCCAGTGGCCGGACCCGCTCGGATCCATGGCTGAGTGGGAAGCCCAAATCCCAGTTGCAGCCACTTGGTCTCCTCTAGCCGTTGGGTGGAGGGCTTGATAGGAGAAGGAGAAAGCGGAGAGGCCTGAAAGGGT